TATATATATATATACCAAAGAAGAGTAAACGATGTACTATATAATGAGAGGTACACATAGTGTGTGTGTGTGTGTACCAAAGAGGAAACGATACAACGGCGTTAAAAATGTTTGTACCTTTTTGTAATTGGCATAGAAACCATAGAATAATAATGTTGAGAAACTAGGACAACATGTTTACGTGCATACGATCAATCCTTTGTTCACCGAATTGTGGACAGCGCTTTCTGAGAAAACAAATATTTGGAAACTTCGATATCAGTTGTGTGTTAAAGGACCCTGTTAGATAATTAGTTTTCAGTATTGCATTTACTCCTTTCCTGAAATAACTGCTGAACTGAAATTTGAATGCTGTGAGTAGGCCTTTCGTATCTTGTTTCACTCAATATTAATTAATAAATGTTTTTGCTTTTTATACAAAAGAGAACCCTCTGTTTTCCGGCTCCCCAGTGGCGCAGCCGAATGTCTTACAACGCCAGAAACCGGGTTTCGATACCTGTGGTGGGCAGAGCAAAGATAACCCATTGTGTAGCTTTGTGCTTAATTACAAACAAATATCTTCTGCAACATTATCTTATATTCATATATGTAGTTAGAACATTCTATTTGCAATCTACGGGTCGCGGAATGGTAAAGAGTAGCCCAAGTGTTGGCAATGGGTGATTTTGACAAGCTGCATTTCCTCTTCCCAACCTTTTGTGGTCCTCGCACCCCTCCCCTAAAACGTGTGCATTAGACATTTCCTCTTGGCGACATTTGGGGGAAAACGGACCTTGTATAGGCCTCTTCTGCGCACACCCTGTACTCTCATTTCGCACCTTCAGGGGGTGCCAACACCCCTGGTTGAGAACTTCTGCTCTAGTCTATCAAAATTAGAGACGGCTAGTGCAGGTATCTTCGATTAGCTTTGCGCGAAATTCAACAAACAAACGAACAAAACCTTTAGCGAGGATGGTGGGTGTTAGGGTACTGATGACTATCTGCCTTCCTTCTAGTTAATAGTTCTAAATTAGGGACGGTGGCAGATAGTCTTAGTAGCTCTGTCATAAATAAAAACATTAATTTTAGAGGTTAGTCAGTGATTTGTTTAATATTATTCCGTTAACAAAATTTCTATTACCAATGATTCAGAAACATATTAGTGTCCGAATTATTTCTCCAGGGTTTCAATAATTTGAACTTTGTTTATAGGTTTATGTGGATGGAATTCTATGTGCTCGTGGAACAAAAGACAGTAGTACTTGCACCAGCGTAGGAACCCTGACAGAACCAGAGTGTCTAGGACCGTGCGAACCAGGAACCAGCGTAATGTTAGAAGGCATTGTTTGGCAGGAGACCGATGGAGGTATTGAATTGGTTTCAACACTGATATTATTTTCGTCTATGTCGTTGGTTAGACTTGCACTTTATCAGACTAAGTCATCGCTAAGTTTTACGCATTAAGACAGCGTTTCCTAAAAAAAATTGTTGTCCACGCCCTTCTTTAATAAATATGATTTCTTATGCACCCCTCCCCTCATTTTTTAAATGAGTGAAAAAATGAGTTAAGTGACGAGAAGTAATACACAGATACACATGAAAATGCCACATATGTTAAAACGTTGTCCATATTTCTAAACTATATACTAATTTTGTCATTAAGTAGTATTATTCATTCTTTGTTTACAACGTCTGTTTTTCTCTTTGTAGGGGTTCTCGTGGTCAATGTAACGTGGAGAGGGAAGACCTATGTGGGAACGTTACTTGACTGTACCAAACATGATTGGGCTCCTCCAAGGTTTTGTGACTCTCCTACTAGTGATATAGATGCCAAATCCGCAAAAGGCCGAGGGAAAAGAGGCAGAGGCTCTTCTAATTCTTCTAGTGAAGTAAATTTTTCTGAAACCAGAACAGTTCAAAGCAAACTTCGAAGCGGTAAAGGGCGAAGAAATGTTGTCAGTAGTAATAATACTTCCAACTCCACTTCGGGTTTTACTGTACCTAGTAGTCCAGCAAAAAGTGATAGTGGCGCATGTGGAATTGGCAAGAGAAAAGGAAGAACAACAGATACTGAGGTACATCCATCACCAAATGAAGTGAAAACTGCTAAAAGAAGTCGATCTCAGCTACACAGCACTCCCATACAGACTACTATTTCCACACATAGTGCGGAACTTCCTCAGCCGAATTCACCAGCTCTAATTGAATGCCCTGAACCTAATTGTAAAAAGAAGTACAAACATATCAATGGTCTACGTTATCATCAGTCTCATGCCCACAGTAGTTCAGATTCGGGTAAAGTAGACGAAGGAAGTACAGAGGAAACGAAAGATGTTACGAACAGTTCTGATAACGATGAAAGTATGCAAGAACCTTCTAGTGTACCCCCTAGTCCTGCACCTTCTACTCGAAGTTCAGCATCACCTAGTCCACTTTTTACTAGGACTGGGCAACAGAGTGAGCATTCTGTGGCTTCTTCTGGAATAGAAAATGAAGATATGTCTTCAGATAAACCATCTATTTCAATTTTAGCAATCGGTGAACAACCAGTATCGTGCAAGAGTAGTCCTGTTATCCAGTTTGCTTCTTCACCTGGTTTATCGACTTCCACAGTTCAGACACAGAAATTAGTGCCTTCTGAATCAGTAGATGAGTTAAATGTGTCTTTGAAACCCCTTATTTCCTGTGCCCCAGTATCCTCCAGTTCAACAGTAGCTCCAGAACTACAGTCTGCAGTGTCTCTGTCAATTTCAAACGCTTCCTCTCAGGGCTTGAATACTACCACAGTATCCAATCTTCCATCTAACACACTAATAAACGCTATAACAACTACAAGTATTCCGTCTGTAACTGTTAGCATTCCAACTTCTCATTTCTTTTCATTTGGACAAAGTCAAAATCAACATAATATACTAGCAACCACAACAGCGGTAATGAGCTCAGGAATACCCACATCATTATCTACTATACGTCAAGTCCCCTCAACAAGCACATTAAATACGGTGACATCTACATCTTTACCATCTGCTGGAATTCCAGTATCTTTAACGCTGGAAAAGAATAGGACTAAGCAGGATAAGGTAGATAAATCAAAGCTGAAAACCTCCTCATCTCCTACCATTAGGCCAATAGTACCTGCCCCTGCTGGTCCAATGATAACCATAGCAACTAGTATCCCAACCACTCATCACACATATGGTCATAGTGGACACTCATTAGTAACTTCATCTTTAAAGCCGATTCAACCAAAACCGACAATATTAGGGGAACCGTCAACAATAAATCCAGTTTTAGAAAGCTTGAAGAAAGAAAAAACTAAACATAAAAAGAAAAGCAAAGACAAAGACAAAAAGATGTCATCGACAGGGAACCCTGACAGAAAACCTGGGGAAGGACCAAAGACACCCTTAGTTCACCCCTTCCAAGTTGATCCTTTGCAAAATATAAATTTAAACCCTATTAATAGAACGTGTAAAAACCATCAAGAACTTTCACTAACTGGTACGACTATGAAGAATACTACCGAACCCCATTTAGAAAAAAATTCAATCGATCCTAACAATATTAGTGAAAACGTTCAAAGCCCAGCATACTCTGACATTTCTGATGATAACGAAACGGCTCCTATCCTGGAGTCGGAAATGCAAGATGTTAAGGACAAAGAAGATAAAACCATGGAACTTGCAAGTCAGTCTACACCCACAAATTTAAGTCCTTACGGCATGTATTCTTACTACAGTCCTCCTCCGTATCTGATACCATCAGCCCCACCTTCAGTAACTGCATCAGCTCTTGGTCCCGAGAAACTAGATACTGGTAAAAAATCCGAATGTGATAAACATAATGAAAGTAAAACATGGCCAGGAAAGTCTCTGGATTCCAATCAAGATAGAATAGTCTGTCAAGATACAAGTGAACAGAAAGTTGTACGTGAAGAACAACAAAATAATCCGTTACATACACCAACAGGAGGCAGTTCCAGCAATGGCCCATTACAGCAAGGCTATCCTTATCCCTATGGTTACATCCAAGGTTATCCTTGTGGTTTGGACCCTGCTTATCACATGCATTTGTTAGCTTCAGATCCACACTACAAGAAGCAATATGAACGATATATTAAAGACCAAGAAAGGCTTCTGAAAGAACATTCAGAGAGACAACAGTATCAACATTTTTCAAAAGACAACCGATCTGTTGAGATAAAAGACAGATGCATGTATAATGAGAAAGTTTCTCCTATTCAATTAACAGTAACGGCTTCAGGTGCTTCTGATCTTACTGTTAACAAGCTGGCATCTCCCAGCTCCTCAGCGCGTAGCCACAAAGAAAGAGAAAAAGACTGTCGAATATCATCTGGATCCACAAGAGTAGAAACTTCTTTGCCACCGACAGTTTTAACTTCATTGAAGGAAAAACAAATTGAAAATCATCAGATATTAAAAGAAAATATCGAGCTAAAGACACATATGGATAGCAAAGCTAAACTAAATCAGTTAGAAGCCGTTAGATTGTATAAGCGCGAGCTAGAACTTCAACGGTATAATATGTTACATAGTCACTACATGGAACAACAGAAATCAGAATCTGATCAACAAGCATCTTCACACGTACTTCATCAAAAAGAAGAACATTCATCACCAGTTTCGCATTCAGCTTCCAGAAAACCTAGTCCAGTCACTGATATAAGCAGGACATCATCTGTCATAGCTTCTCCAAGAAGTGACCCAAACAAGCCTGTAATAGGGTCGATATCTTCCAGTCCTAAGCCAAGAACTAGAGATATTATGTCTCCTCACAATAAAGATCATAGCAGCACCACTTCTGGTGGTATTATTACAGGTAACAACAAGAAAGATAGTGTGAGCTCTACCTCAGGAAAGCATCGCGACTCACCTGAAACTTCCCAACGTGAAGACAAAATTAAAAGTGAGAAGAAGATTAGTTCAGAGGGACAGAAACCGACCATGGAAACAACCGGACCTCCTCCACCTCCAACTAATACATATGCTTATTTACATCCCTCCTATCTTCAACCTCCACATTTTGGTCATATGCCTTTTGAAGGCCATCCCATGTACAGAGCTAGTCTCAACCCCATGTTAATGTCCTCTGGGACCCCCTACGGCGGATCACCATACCTACATCCCCAGCTTCGCTATCACGTACCTCATGGACCTTGTGATATTCCACCTCACTCTCAAGCCCCCACAGATGCATTGGGACCCAAAATGTCTTCACCTAACGCACCAAAGGCTTTGGATCTATTACACCAAGTGTCTCAACACTATTCATCACACAAAATTCATGAACTTCAAGAGAGAGCCATTATGTCACCTGCACCCATTTCGACACCTGCAACTACTGTTGCCTCAGCAATGCCCAATAAATCTTCAGATACCTCCACAACCTCTTCCAAACAAGAAACAAGTACTTCTGAGGAAAGGTCTCGACTACTACCACCGCAGCGCCATCTTCATACACATCATCATACCCATGTGGGAGTAGGCTACCCACTTTACGATCCCTACGGTGGTAAGTATATAGCAACTTTACTAAGCCTAATCTAATGCTTAATAAAAGTGAAGAAATATACAACTAACATTGTATAAACATTTCTATCCATTTCTGTTGTGATAGGAGCTATTTTCAAAATTGTTCCTTGTATCATCATGGCCAAGTGATTATGGTATTCAGAGCGTGAAACCTAGGGTTCATGGTTCCACACTTTATGGGCCGTTTTAGAATGACCGTCAAACAACAGTTGATCTTGACCGTTTGCTTTCCCTCTAGTCTCTCCATTCCAAACTAGGGATAACTATGCCCTTTGTGTAACTTTCCACATAAATTCTTAAAAACAAACAAACAAAACCTTTTGTCTTACGTTAGGAATTATGTGAAATAATTGAAACTTGTATTATACAAAGTTTGAAACAGAAAATCTAGCGATAGCATAGCGGTAATTCTGAAAGCTTATGACGCTACAAACTGGATTTCGATACCCGTGGTGAGCACAGAACGGATAGCTAGCTCAATGTGTAGCTTCAAACAAACAAGTAAATTAAAAACCATTCTTTCATTGTCCTTGATTTAAAGCTTGCGTTTAGATTTAACGATTTCCCCCAATGGCACAGCGGTATGTCTGCGGACTTACAACGCTAGAAACAGGGTTTCGATACCCGTGGTGGGCAGGGCACAGATAGCCCACTGTGTAGCTTTGTGCTTAACTTCAAACAGGATTTAACGCAACTCCAGGTATGTAGCTATTGTCTATAAGAATGTAGGGGGATTAACCCCAAAACATCCATATCATATGATGAAAATGTGAATTTTGAGTTCTTTAACTCAAAAGATCACAAAGAAAAAGTCGACCGCCATGGTACATTGAAGCCCGATTATGTAACGCCCTAATTTCAAGTAGTAAGGTATCTAGTAACGCCCTCATTTCTGGTACTAAGGTATCCATTATTATTTAAAACAAACTAGTAAGTTAAAAGTATACATATTTAGCTTTGAAGTATATATAAAAAAGTTAGAACGTGTTCGTATGTGGTTATGTCATATTATTTTCACAAACATATACATACATTTGACGGGAACTTTTTGATCCTAGTAAAAACATATATTTGTCGTTAAGCTATTACATTTATTTCAGCAATTAGACTAAGGTCGTTAAAATGGTAAGATTGAGTTTTACTTCATTATTTTAGTACAGAGAAGGAAAGGAAATTTTAAGTATCTTGGTTTATTATCAAAAACATGGAGAAAAAAAAACTGTAATGAGAAAAAAATGCTGCTTCAAAGACTTGATTGATTCTCAACAGACTATTTATGTATATTTGTCTTTCGTTGTTTAGCTCATCACGAGGGTTTTTTTTGTTTGTTTTTTCTTTCCATGGTTTGTATTGACTTCTTATGTTCTAAAAATATTAGTTTTTGTCGCAGACGCCTACTTAAATATTATGCTACATTGGCATCTCTTACGTTACTTTAAACGTCACGTTCTTTTTTTTCCCCTGTTGTAAAGCGTTAGGTAAAAATGAACCTATGTGCACACTGAGTATAAATTCACGATATTGTCTTAGCGTATTTATTTATTAACCTGGAGGGGGCGTTTCAATGATTTTTATTCAGTTGTTAAATAGATAAAACTAATATTTTTCTATAGACATAATTCGATTGGTTTATACTGAAAGTTACTTTTAGGTGTGTATATTAAGCGAATTTTCTCCTCAATAATTGTTTTTCTATTTAGGTCATGTGTATAGAAAATACTGACGATGAAAAAATTTAGGGGTCGTCTGTTATATTTTTCGTCACAGAACAGAAAATGTTGTAATAAAGTTTCTTGTGAAATTTCACGTTTTAAAACGTGATTTAGTTTTTAAGTAATCCTGGTACCTTAATATCATTGAACCTTGCGCTAGTTTTGTTCGGAGTTTTATAATTTTTGTATTGGATAGTTAAGAGTGTTGATTACATACATGTTACGAATGATTACAAACTCTTGTAAAGAAACTATTGATGATTGGAAGCAGAATGTTTATAATAATCCAATGCATAATTTGATCGATTTGTAGTGGCCCAACCACAGTGGAAGCAAGCACAAAGACAAGTTCCTTTCAAATTAACGGTAATTATGAAAGTGCCTTCGCATTTACTACAAATATTAAAGTAGAGTATACAGGTTAAAACCGAGACCAAAACTTTAAAGTGTTGATTTTAAATTAGCGTGTTTTGCTGTATTTCACAAGAATATAATTCAATTTTCATGCTTAATCATGTAGGACAATTTTTTCTGTGATATAACGTAAACAAAACGTCGAACTTTGGAGTGTAATGTGTATGATCTGTAATTTTTTTTCCCCATTAAATGGATTATATTTTATAATTTTTATCTTTGAAGAAAAACGCTTTCTGCTGTCACTAACCTTACCAGCAGCTATAATTAAATATTGATGACATTTAACAACTCTTTTTTTTTCTCGTTTTACTGGAGATTTCAAAAACTTTAAAAATATAGTGCAAAGGAAAAAAGTAACTTTTTAATAATTTATTAGCAACAATAGCTATATAAACATAATATACACACACAAACAGAAATAATACAGATTCCCATAAAAATTACGGTTTATTAGAGCAACTGAAATGTTTATGAATAAACCGGCGTTATAGATTATTGGTAAAAATAACTATCTTGGAGAAAGTTTTTCTTCTTCCTGGGAATGGAATATTTGTGAACATTTTGTTATTTATGTTAACAGTGAATTATGACATCTTTTGTGTTGTGTTTTTAGCGACTCTATTCTGTAGACGTGCGATTTTTCACACTAGCAAAAGTTACTTTAAGTTAAGTAAAACGTAAAAAAACAAGTCTTGTAATATGTTTAGAAAAAAGAAATTTTAAAGTTCAGTAAGTAATGAAATATTAACGCAAACTTGACGGGCGTAACGTAGAACACTTTTTTTTTTTTTTAAAACACGTAGTATTAAATGCGTATTTAGATAGGCATCAAATAGGGTTCGAATAGAGTTCATAAAATATTGTTTTTCCGTCCAAATTAGTTTAGGTGGCATGTTTGGTAATGGTCATGATAATTTCTACAGCAAAGGAATAAGTTTAAATTCTAAAGGCTGTATTGTATGTATGCTGTTTTATCCTCCCGCCCCCCAGTAAAAAAACTAAAAATCATCATTTGGCTTTCTCGATGCTTTGTCAAGTTTTTAAAGGTATAATTTAGTAGTGCTGTCGCCCTTATACTTAGTTTACGTTTTAATCTTTTAAAGGTATAACTTAATAGTGTTGTCGCCTTTATGTGTAGCTTACGTTTTCATTTTCCAGGATCATTCAGTTTTAAGCTTGGGATCATAGACTGAGACTTAATTAAATTCAGAGTGAAGGTTTTAGGCATCTGAAAACTACTCTTTGTGATACATAGAGTGACAACTTCTCCTGTAAGTTAATTTGTAAAAATGAAAACGAAGTTGTGTCTAGAAATTAAAGGGGGGGGGGAACAAATGACTTATTTTTATTTTAACAGGAAATGTTACATGTGTCCTACTATGGAAGAATTCGTTTAAAATGTTTTAGCAATGTGGAACGTTTTATCTCATTCCATTTATTACATGTTTCTCTTGTTCTTTTTAGCAATGATCGTCTCCCAGCAAGCCGCAGCTGCCTCCAGCGTGCACTCTTTTTCTCCCAAGTGAAACTTCAAGGCTCTTGTCATCATCTTTGGATTTGCTTTTGATTCCGGGACTATAGATCATTAGAGTGTGTCTATGTTTACAGCGACTGTATCTGAAAAGCTGAGAAACTCTTTTCAACCAAAGTGACTTTTCTATGGAGTTTTTGAAGAAGAAAAAGAAGGGATCTCGAACAGTTCGAATCTTTGATTTTCGGCTTGGTGCATTGCAACGTAGAAAATAGAATGCGTAAACTAGTCTTAACGTTCGCGTGGAGTTCCGAATTTCTTATTCTCTGGATTTCGTATCTCAAATATGGCTCTTTATAAGCTTTAAACGCTTCTGTGGGATTGTCCTAGAGCGTATTGCATTGGAAAAAAAATTAAAAACTGAAGAAACATTTAAAAATACGTTTAATTCATTCACAGAAGAAGAGACTGGCTAGAAGACTTTAAAGACTTAGCCTATTCAGTTGTTGTTACCAGATGTTCAGATCTAGTTGTGTACAGTGAACAGCAACCTCTAGAGTAAGTCAGTGCCAGGAGATACATCGTTTGCTTTTGCTGCTGACTTTTTACCTTTACCATCATTTTCGGGGTGATTATTCATGGGTGTATAACCATAGTGCAAACTTCAAAAATCGATTGTGTTAATTATCAGTTTATAATTGTGTGTGAACGCGCATATTTGCATGAATGTATTTTGCAACTAGTTTTGTTTGTAAATAGTGTTACTGTACTACAAAAGGTGCTAGCCACTTTGTATATAGTCATCATGTGTAATGGTTGTTCGTCTTTATCTACTATATGAGGATGATCGACATCACCACAAAGACGAAGGTCTGCTCCGAACGATGTTGTTTGTATTAAATGTAACTAAATAGCTGCACATTATGATGTAAATATATATATTGTCTATTGATTCGGATATATCATTTTGTCCAATACACTGCCAGTGTTTAATAGTTTTTAGCAAAGGCTTGAATCGTTTGTAAAGCAGACTTTGTGTATAAAAAGTAACGCACACTAATCTGCTATGTTCATATGAGGCGGATGTATGGAGGTATTATAATTCATTGCATATGTTACCGGCTATGTAAGGATTTCCCAAGGTATTCGGCACACGATGCTAGATCTATATACAGGGGTAAGTTACGAAATATAGGCTTATGTGATTGTTTTTACTTCTCTGTGCCAAACGTTTTATTTCCTACGATCGAAAAAAAAATGACGAAGGTTAAACTAGGATTTCGAGCTCCTTTTATTATTTTTTAGTGTAAGACATTTGACAGAATTTTAAATAAAGGTTATTTTTAACATGACCAATCCGTTTTAATCTGTGTACGAATCAGAAGAGCAATTAAAGATGGCAGACAATTCCAAGTGATGCGTGTGTTGGTTACATTAGAGCATTACGCTCAATGAAAATCGGGTCTATTTTTTATTTTTTTTGTATTTTGAACTGGAACGTCAGATTATCAGTAAATATCTAACAAATTGCTAGCGTTAATTAAGGTTTTACGTACACACATGGTTACTAGATAGATTAACAGTTTTTTTTGTTTGTGTAAATCGTTATAATGCTATAGAAATGTGGCTATTTTTTATTTTCAAAATTACATACGTTGTAGATCTGGTCTTGCATGGCAGTTTGCTGTTATTTGAACAGTTTGATGGAAAGCGTACGTGATTTTACTTTCAAGCTATTTATCGTAAAAGCAAAGTTTAGTCCCCCTCCACGCGCTCTCAGTGATGTCCATACCCAGCCTCTTGTCTAAAATATGTCACGTGCCAAATTATTAACCACTGTATTTCAGTCGGAATGGGCAACGTTGGTATTATAGGTTATTATCGACATTCTTATCCACCAAATGTAAAAACAGAAACTTTATCGAGCAGACAAAAATAATGATGTTAATCAAAAACCATGTTAGATTTTATGTAGTGTGATTTTTTTTTTGTCTGAGGCAAAAGTGTCTAAAGAAATTACTTAAAGAATTTTTACAGCGTTTATTTGTTTTACAATTAAACTTGTAATTCGAAACCTGATCTGTCGGAATTAATACAATTATCCTATCATTCTGGGTTGTTTCTACGATTATAAAAAAGCCACCGTTTTTCATGTTATAATAATTATAAAATGCTAGAATGGGAAAGTTAGAAATACATACTTGTTCCGGCTATAAATGCAGATTACATTGCGTTTATACATATAATTATTTTATTGTTGCCCTTTTCACAAAATATGCTAAAATAAAGTTTTTGTTTCGAAAATTTGGAATTTTTCAAATAAAAGTAAATCTGTTCTGTTACTTAGTTTCTTTGTATATGTACACACACATATATATATATATGTGTGTGTGTGTGTGTATATATATATGTACTGTACCTTTTATATTGAAAACAATACCTCTGTACACCCGACTTTCAAATAATGTGATCACTGAAAAATATGTTTGTAGAAAAAGTTTGGGGTTTTCTTTGATTCGATTTGTTATGAACGGGAAGTTAAGTTTTTCTGTGCTGTGACAGGCCTGGCACGTTTGTTGGAAGGCGTATCACAGCCGCCATATTGTACAGAAGAGTCACTGTAAGAATACTGTATTGTGTGTAAAATGTAGTTTTTGAAGATTTATTTCCCAAAAAGATTTAATTCGCTCTTGCTGGTGTTCAAGTACTGTATTTTTATGAAGCAGAAGTAAAAAGCTTTTAGCACCAAATCATGTTGTTTTCTTTTCTCTTTTTTTTTTTAACAAATAACCAGCTCACTATTCTTTGCTTCAGTAGTATGTGGGCTTCTCTCTATGTTGCGTTGAAACTGACCAAATTGAAGAGGTGATAAACCAAACACTTTTATAAAAGTTTGAGGAAAGTCGTGTTTTTAGATATAGCGTATGTTTCTGACTACAGAATATTTTATCTCGCAATACATTCAAGTTTTTACAAGTACTTAAAATGTAAAGAGTCTTTCACAAGAGATTTTTCATACACTGAAGAAATTAAGTTGTTAAAAAGATCTGCCGAGTGAAAGTAAAGAAGCGTGTTTAATTAATAATATATTAACCACACTATCTCTACTATATTCAGTGCCGGAGAGGCCTTTCGCCTAATTACAGTACTTTTGAGGTCGGCTTGGATACAGTAGACATAGTAATGGTTGAGACGTTATTTATATCGGCAAATACCCTGACAACAATCGTTACAGCGGATTAAGCTGGTAGAGTGTAATATTTCGTCAATTTTAATTATGTCACAACAAATAGGAATTGGGATAAGGATTTTTAACACTAATTATTAATTTAGTTTAAGACAATATGTTATTTTTTGTCTTGAATTAACCTGCATCAAATTAAACATGTTTGACTATTAATGTACCACGACCGTAAAATAACAAAAATGTGAAGATTAATAAGAAAAAGAAAGTTAATCACGATGCAGAAATTTAAAACACTTCACGAACGATTGTAAATTAGAATGAGCGTGATCTTAAACTAGCATGTTCTCTATACTTAATAGAACACCTTCAAGCCATTTTCCTCTAAATCCCTCACCATTATTTTTTAAATTTGTTCCATTTATAATGATAGACTAGCAGAAACGTGACTACGAATGTTTACGACTTGCCAACTTATTACAGAAAAATAAACGAGTAGCTTGAACTTATCTTCCAAGTTCGAAAAATTCTAAGCAGTTATTACAAGGTCACCATAGACTAACAAAATCATTACTTAACAGGGGAGAAAAGGGCAATAAGAACCGTGTCTCCACACCTCTTCTCCCCCATAAAAAAACAAACAAACTTCCCCCAGGAAAGGAGAAGTATTTGTATCGGGTTTGTGTTTAATGTTGAACGTGTTACTTGGTAGGATTTTAATTTGAAAGAACAGAGAAGCAATCAGACATTTACAATTTTGGGCACTATTTGAATTATTTTTTAAAAAATCTCGCATTTTGAAAAGGCGAGTGCAAGTTCGACGTGTGCTGCTCAAAAAAAAAAAAAAAAAAAAGAGGGCAGCTCCTAACGGCTAATATATCAATTCTCAGTTTACTTTGTTGCTGTACATTACCCCCTAGTTTTGTCGTTCTGCATCGGTGCCTTAATCACAAAGCCTGCCACTAACAGGATTATCAGGGTGACTAATCTTTTAGCTTATCTCCCTCGTCCTCATGTTGAAACAGACTATTGCTTCACAAAAGCTCCGGGTGACAGGCTATGTTTTGTCTTGGACTTGGGTTGTTTTGTCTGCTTGGCTTACTATGTAGTTTAACACCTGTACTACTAGTTCACTTCAAGGTTTCATCCGTGTATTCGGCCTGAATATCTTTTGGAATTTTAAACTGACATATTTTTTTTCATGTTCACCATTTCTAAATGTCAAATGCTGATTGGTTAGATGCCTGCAGCCTATTGTATCATTAACACAGAATAATTCAGTTTAACTTGATTTTTGTTTAAAATTGAAGTTAAGTCAAAAATACACTCACAATTCATGCTGTGAGTTGAGTTGGATTAGAAAAAAATAGTAAGTTTTTTAACAGTGGCTCAGCGGTAAGTTTGAGGGCTTATAATGCCTGTGGTGGGTACAACACAGATAGCCCATTGTGCACCTTTGAATTTAACAACATACAGGGGCAAGGTATTTGTTTTCAACAAATTCATCACCGAAATGAGTCCTTAATAACATTAATTTTGTTCGATAAGTAATGCCATATTTAGTTGAAAAAAAAAAGTTTTTTTTTGTCATGACTGACCCTATAGTAATATAGATTTCATAAAACTTAACTGATGCACAACACTAAGTTTTCTTATGAACACCGTTCACTCTAATCCAAGTTAAATATGAACTTTTTATATAAAAAGTAATTGTTAAATGATCCAAATTAGTGTTAAGTTATTGTATTGATTAGTTAATTCCAAATTTACGAGGCGATTTAAAATTAACGTAATCAAAACAGCTTTTGTGGAGTTATTTTCTTGTAATATTTTATTAATTATGGCTTAACAGTTCTTGCCTACATCCTATAATTTCAATACTTTTACGATTTGTCGCCAGGTGATGTATTTTCATAAATACGGGTTTGGTCTCTGTATTTGTAAAGGAAAAGTAGTAACGAATCTACTCACAGGCGTGTGCAACTATCTGTTCACCCAATTATAAAATGTGTTTATTGTTGATGGTCGAATTAGTGTAGTAATATTCCTTGTTAAGGGTTGGTGGCGTGAAGGTAGGCCTCAAGAAAAACTTATCTTCGAGTTATTTACTGTGTATACGTTCATGCTAGATTTCCTATATAAAACTAAACACAAACAGTGCTGATATCAATCAAATAATACGCAACTGGAACGAAATTCTACGAACCTCTTGGTCGATGGAATTGAGCGAAACGTTAACAAAAGATATTACACATTTTTTCGCAACAAACCAATTTAAGTCAGTCGGAAGATGTTGCGTCAAAATGACACAACATGGCGCACGCTATTACATAAAAGTTTTGTAATTAAAAGATAAGTTCTAAGTAAGTGAATTTTTATACAACTTTCCAGTCTTTTAAAACTGACAGCGTTGTTTTGGAAAAGTATATTTAATTAGCTATACTAATTACCGGGTTGATTTTTTCAGTTATGAATTCTAGGTAACTTGTGTTGTTAAGAAGTTAACATTAAAGATGCTACCTGCCTTACTTTCAATTTTTCAAAAGATAAAAGGGAAACGACTTTTTTGTTGTTGTAGATAAGTTAATGCACAAAATCAGGCATTACTATAATTGGTTTCTAAAGCTTTAAAATGGCAGCTAAGGGTTGCTCTAGGAATGCATTGTACCAGCTTTCCAACCCATGCCGTGGTGAACTTGATGTGAAAGGTTTATACGCCTCATGGGGCTTGATTATGTGCCACAGTCTTTTTTTTTTTCGTCTCGGAAACATACTATTCGGCTCCTTTTATTCCCACGCGCTGTTAGAAGTATAGTATACAGTAGTTTCACTGCTTTCATATTTCAGAGTTATATATCGTTAACATAATTGCATTACAAGTACTACTGTAAAGTTTGTCTCCATATACTAAAATCACATCATGTCAGAATTATTGTGAATATGAGCACGCACTGCTGAGAACATTAAAAAAAACATATGGTGCTATTTATATATTCTTATTGAGACTATTTGGGCGGATACAAAATGTGTTTATAGATAGTAAGGAGGTTTTTAAAACATGAGATTAAATAGATGTGTAAGATTATCGTATCGCAGGTATCATTTTTTCTGTTCAATTTTGTCGATAAATGTAAAACGGGTTAAGAAGTAAATAATAAAAAACACAAGTTTAAGAATTAACAGTTTTGTAAGATCGACTTGTTTTGATAAAAAACTGTTTGTAACAATATATATTTATCCGAATCCGTGCGAAACCACAACATATTTCCCACCCTTTAGCTGTGAGTGCGCTATAAGGGTGATAGTCAATCCCTTAGCATGGATGGTTTAGTGGTTGGGTGTGCTGGTCAGTAGCTGAAATTTCGAATCTAAAAATCGTGTTTGTTTTGAATTTCGCGCAAAGCTACACGAGGGCTATCTGCGCTAGCGGTCCCTAATTTAGCAGTGTAAGACTAGAGAGAAGGCAGTTGGTCTTCACCACCCACCGCCAACTCTTGGGCTACTTTTTTACCAACGAATAGTGGAATTTACCATCACATAATAATGCCCCACGGCTAAAAGGGCGAGCATTTTGGTGGGACTGGGATTCGAACCCACAGATTGCGAGTCGAGCGCCCTAACCACCGAGCCAGATAGCCTTAGTAACTTTACATTAAATACAAATACTAACATATAAATGGGTCCCCAGCACCTACAACTAGATTATCAGCTTTTCGATTTACGTCAGACCCCTAAATATCTTCATAGCTCTGTGATTTTCATTTAGTCAGCTTTAATAAACTAATCTGATGCAAACTAAGCTAACGATATAGATCAAAATTAAAATAAATAGTTTATTAATTAATGAAGACGATCTATATAATAAGCATAATAAATACTTAATGCCATAAATCAAGACGCCAAGAAACTGAAACCTATAAATATTAAAATACATTGAAATGTTAAATGAGCATCCCGGTTGCTAACCGAACTTTCAATCATAATTCCAATACTGCCGCACTATCAAAACCAACACTATCAGCTTACGTTAGCTCTAAATACACATGCTTAGCTAGGAATGTAATTTAATTTTCATAATGAAAAATCAAACAAAACAGAATTCATAAAGTATTGAAATTAATTTTAAACATTATAATCAATAAGTTAATGAAATTAGATATAAAGAAAACAGGTTTGTTTGGAATTTCGCACGAAGCTACATGAGGTCTATCTGCGCTAGCCGTTTTTTAATTGAACAGTAATAGACTAGAGGGAAGGCAGCTAGCTAATTAATACCACCCAATGCCAACTCTTGGGTTACTCTTTTACACCAATGAATAGTGGGATTGGCCGTGACATTGCAATGTCCCTAAGTAAGTGCGTGCATGTTTGGTAATGGGGGACTCGAACCCGCAGATTGCGAGTCGAGCGCTCTAATCACTAGGCCTAAAGAAAAGTTACTAATAAATGCACCCACAACACGAGGATGCCACATTCAGAACCGCAAATTGATGAAAAATAAAAACAATGGGGAAAATAATTATAACATTAACAGACTATTTGGAAAATTATACCGTTTTTTGCCAC